AGGGGCTTTGATCAGTGTACAGCTCTAAAAGAGCTAGGAGGAGAGTTGAAATATGTTGTTGCCATGGATACTACAAAAAAATAGGTGAGAGGCAATATATGGCTCAGTGGTTTCAGGAATATGCTTGGTTTTGTGTGGAAACAGCAACTCTCGGTGTGGGAAAAAGTATTGACAAAAGTTTCGGTTCTTATCTCCTGATCTGCCCTCGCATAGAGTTGGCAGAGGCTGAAGTTTAGATCCACCTTGATATAAGTGACTATTTATCTCCGTTAGATTATGAACTGATATGCAGACCTCTCCGTTTCCTGCCAGGTAAAATACAGAAACCCTCCCCCCGTTTCCTGCCCACCCTGGCCTGCCTTCTTTGGCTCCAGTCCTGAACCTAACCCTCAGAGGAGTGGAAAATAATTAGGAGAGAAAATTGCTGCTGACACTATTTCTGAAAAGCAGGGTATTGTAATGAGAGCAGAGCAGGTATTCATTGTGTCTGAGGGAGCGATTGAAAGCCCTTGGTTTTCGGGCTGCCTGGGAGAAGCCCAGGGAGAGTAAGCAGAGCTTTGCTGAGTCCCTTAATGCATGTGGGAACGGAGCCTTGAGAGGACGAGGTAGAGGTGTCTTCAACAATGGCAGGAGCCAAGGTTACAGCTGAGTAACTAATTCAAACTGCTCTAGACTGACACACACACTCATACGCACACACTCTTGTCTCCTTTGTCTCTCTCAATATGTCTCTCCCTCTGTCTCTTGCTCTCTCCTAGTTCCCATTATGTGTTCAGAGAAATGCCGTCCAGCCACTGCTCAAAGTTATCTTCATTAGCTGTGTGGACTTGCTGGAGTGGCTGCTCTGGGAAGCTTTTTTCTGAGCAAGGCACTCAGAGAAGATGAATAAATGTTTTGTCCCACATAGGCCCAGCCTAAAGCAGTGGCAGGCTGCAAGGAGAGAGATAGATGAGGTATTAACTGTTATATTTTTCAGCGGGGGCCGAGGAAGCCCAGTGGTGGGGTTGATAGAAGCAGATGCTGCCGCCTGAATATTAAACCAGTTAAATGAAATGTCCTCTATAAAGAAGTCTTAATAGGAGTTAAAATATAGCACTGTGCTCCACTGGTTGTGCATAACGGAGCTGAGCACATGCTCATCTCAGGGCTGCTGCTTGACATGTGATTCAGCCTAAAAGCTGGGATAAAACGAGGTCACTTTGATCGTCTCTTAGTGCCGTGATGCAGGTGCAGCATCAGGATGATGATTTAGCATTTGAATGATTACTGCATCTAAGGATAATGAAAACAGGGACACAGAAATAATGGCGCGCACGAGTCTTTTGAGACTGCTGAAACATGTGGCTGATGACAAAACTTCATTAGACCTATAGAATTGAAATCCACTGAGCTTAGATGGCGCAGCTGCAAAATATGACAACAAATGATGTTTTACTGATGCTTAAATACGTCGATAATCAAAATAAAAAGTAATTCATTGTTTTTTCTTGTTGCTTTGATGTTTTATTGTGATGGAGAGTGAACAGACTTGTCCTTTCTCTCCAACGAATGTTAATGCCATTCTTAGTTAATGAAAATCTGAGACCGCCTTTGTAATGTTGCAGGCATCCATAATAGAAATCTGCAGGGAATAATGGTGAGATCCCACTTAAATGAGAAAATAAATTGATGGCCAAATTGCATGTGGGTCATATCTCCACTTATGGGAACTCAGATCTGCTTTTAGTTGCCTAAATAATGGACAGAGAAAACTGTACTCACATTCAGGTTTAGATTGCCTCCACTCTGCAATTTAATTTCAAATTACAAAGTACATCTGAAACCTCTCTCTGTTTCTGTGCTTCTCTGCTCCTCTCTATAGCTCTTTCTCAGACACAGAAATAAACACGCATATTACCCACAATGCATCTGCTGTATTCCATCCATTTCTGTGAAGTGGTTAAAGTAAAGCAGGTAAATTAAATCTGTGGCTTTGCCATTCGAGATTCTGGCAATCACCCAGATCAGTTTAGCATCTCCTTCTGTATTTCCAGGCACTGTGAAGAAATTTCCAGGCTTTTAGGGGCACACGATGCACAGCGACACATTCAGTAACATCAGAAAAAGTAGCTAATGCAACTATGAACAGGTGGTGCGGTGAAATAAAATCAGAAACTATTATCTGCAATCTGACTTTTCAGGTACTGAGATAAAACACAGAATCCCATGTGCTTTTGTTCACCGTGTGCCTGAGGTGCTCGTAGGTAAAAAGATCGGTTATGCTCAGTAGTGATGAGTGTAGTCAGAGTGTCTGTGGAGGGCGGACTCCCACGGGAACTCTGCACAACAGAGAAGGGCAGTATAATATTTTCCAAACCTGGATGTCTTCTTATGACCATTAGAAGATGGTAGTTTGCTTTTCACCTGTGCAAGGGAAGCATTGATATTGATATTTGCTAAACTGTGTCTCCTTCCCAATTTCAGGCTGCAAGTTTTTTTTTATTTAAGGGATAATTTGCCTTCAGAACTGCCTTAATTCTTTGTGCCACAGATTCTTTAGAGATTTTGCTCCATACCCTTACACATTTGCTGTAGATTTGTCAGCTGCACATCCATGATGTGAATCTCCCGCTCCATCACATCCATCTGTTGGACTGAGTTCACAATGTTCACTATCACTATTTGAGTACACTATGTTCAAGAAATCGGTTAGAGATTGTTTGAGCTTTGTGACACTTTGTGACACTGTTGGACGCAGCCATCAGAAGATGGGTACACTGTGAGCGTAAATAGATGGACATAGTTTGCAACAATATTCCGGTAGGCTGTGGTGTTTAAATGATGCTCGGTTGATACTAAAGGACCCAAAGTGTACAAAGAAGATATGTCCCACACCATTACACCACCAGCAGCCTGAACTAGGTGATATAAGGTAGGATAGATGGATGCAATCCTGGTCCTACCATCTGAATTTCACCACAGAAACTGAGACGCATCAGATCAGGCAACATTTTTCCAATCTTCTACTGTCCAATTTTGGTGAACCTGTGTGAATTATAGCTTAGTTTCCTGTTCTTAGCTGACAGCAGTGGTGAGTGAAGGCTGTAAGCCATCTGCTTCAAGGTGCAGAGTATTGCACGTTCTTCTTCTGCATAGCTTGGCTATTTGCGTCACTGATGTCTTTCCATCAGCCCGAAGCAGTCTGTCCATTTTCCTCTGACCTCTGACTTCAACGAGGCATTTTCACCCAGTGAACTGCTACTTACTGGATATTTTCTCTTTTTTTGGGATCATTTTCTGTAAACCCTAGAGATGACTGTGTGGGAAAAGCCCAGCAGATCAGCAGTTTCTGAAAAACTCTGGCCTATCTGGCATCAACAACCACGCCACGTTCAAAGTCGCTTTACTCATCTTTCTTCCCCATTCTGATGCTCGGTTTGAACTTCAGCAGATCAATTTGACCAGGTCTACATGCCTAAATTGCCTAAATCCATTGAGCTGCTGCCACATGATTGGCTAATTGGATATTATGCACATTAACACACCGCACATTTAAATAGGTGTACCAATTTGAATTGAACAATTCATGTTTGCAAAGATGCAACTAGACATTTGTGATCAATCTTGTTCGCACAGTGGATATTAAAAAAATGCCAAGCCCACAGCCAGCGCTACATCTGCTCTTGTTGTGTTAAGTAGCTTTCATTGGCACCACAGCGATCCCTCCTCATATCCACATCACTGTCAAACTCTTGTTACTTTTTTGAAAAGCCATCAGGATTTGTCTCTGTCAAGTGCCTGTCCTTCAGTCCATTAAAGATGATTGATAGAGCTAGAAAATCTTCCACCCAGCTGTTGTTGTTGACTCATCTCTGAGAGATTGAAAGGAGCGGAGAAAAAGACCATCCCTCATCAAAAGACCTTTTGTCTGTGTTGACGATGTGAAGCAAAATAGATTTTAGAAGATAGGTTATAACTAATCTCCAGCCTTTTTTTTAAGATGTTTTTTCTAGCTTTGTATAGGAATAATTATTAGATTATAGATGAAGATGGTGATTAGTCACATTTTTCTTTAATCTGAATATTACAAAAATGTTTAATGTTATCCTGCAGGCTCTTAATTGTCTGATCTCAACTCTTTTAGTTTTCATAGATAAAGTTAGTCTGGGAGGCTTTTGTCCTCCATTGATCTCGTCTTAACGAAGAGCAACCAAAAAAATGGGTACGTGTGGTTGTCCACCTGCCACTGTTTCCTCCTACCTCTGTTTTCCTCTAATGGCCTGTGAGGATTTTTACAGGACAACTTGAAGAGGATTTTATCATGTTTCAGTGTGATTGATAACATGCTCTTGGGGGGATGTCAGGCTTTCAGAGACAGATAATGCGGATTTCTATCTCTCTGCCTTCTCCTGTAAGACGTGCCATCAATCAGATGTATCCTGGCCTTAACCTGGTAAAATTAAAACCTTAGATAGGTGGGGGGATGGGCAGGGGTCTCCGTAGAACCAGGACACACACATCAACCGGGAGCATGACAGAATCAGAACACAGATCCACATCGTGGCAGGCTCACCGCAGAGAAGACGGTGGATTCCACAACGGGCCAGAAAATACAGTTAATGATCGGACTGCATATCGCTGTTGACAGAGGAGAGAGATTACAGGAAGAACAGTCTCATTTTCACTGTGTGTGGAGGCGTTATTAGATCCTAGCCCAGCTAATTTCATTCCTAAGCTTGTCAATATTTACCAGCAATAGGCACAGCACTCTATGGCAGACGCAGCCTCCCTATAGAGAGGAGATAGAGCACCAGGGAGCTGATTTGAAAACGTAGACATTCACTAACCGGAATCAAACTCATAAACATAATTTTCAGCTTGTTGCTGGTTGTTTGTTTTCTCATGATAAAGCACGCAAAGTCCTAATTAGCCCAGCTGGCTTGGGATATGTCGAGTGCCTGGTTTTACATGCTTCTCCTCAGGTAGGCCCTTACCTCTCTTTGTATGTCTGTTTGTTTCAGTTGATGGCTGCATACACAAAGCGGCTGGGTCCTGTCTGTATGACGAGTGTCACTCGCTAAATGGCTGTGAAACCGGCAAAGCCAAGATCACCTGCGGCTATGATCTCCCTGCAAGATGTGAGTATCAGTAATTATTAGCTTTTTCTGTTTGTTTTTGTAATGTGCGCCGAGGTGCCTTCCAGGATAATTCTCTAATTAAAACTGTTGCCATTGAGAGCTACATCACCTGACAGTGAACATTAAGAATTAGCGGTAAGTGCACTTTCCAGCATTAATCTGTAAAGTTTTTATAAAACAGCTCATTTCTTTTCCAACACAAGGCTTCTGAACCAGCTGGCAGATTGCTCTTACTTACTAAAAATCATTTGTAGGGATAAAAAAAAAATACTTTTTTGTCTTTTGATTGCTTTTAGACTTAAATAATTTTGTCATTTACATGTATATGTGTATTATATTTCAACCTGAGGCCATTGCTCCTGTCATTTTTGGATAAAGATGATCGCTTTTGCAAACTAAACACAAGCACACATGGCCCCACATGTCTTATATACACGCTTGTATGCTCTTATATAATGACTGAGGTCATTAGTGCCAAAAACAGAGTGGGACGCATTTGATGTTGAACAGAAGAACCTGTGAATCCAAATTACTTAGTTTTTAGAGCTCATTTGTAATAAACAGGGAATTGTTATTTGGAAGATAATTAATATGATTGGTGCTTGCTGTACTGCTGGATGAGAGTGTCGTCTGCACACAAACAAAGACATTAACGAAGCTATTAGTTGCTTAATTTGATTGATTTTTCATCCCTGATTTATTCCGTTAACAGATCACATAAATCTTGCTATCATGAAGATGAACGAATAAACGATTAGAATTTGGACTGCACAGTTTTCCTTTTCCCTCTGTAACGGACATAATGTTTTTTAATCAAGTTAAGAAAGCCAACGTGTGTTTGTCGTAGATATTTCCAAACGAAATTCTTTTCCTAATCGTCCTTAATACACGTGTCTCTTTTCAAACTTTGTCACAAGCTCCTTTCCTTGCAAACTTGAAATGGAAAACATGACAGGAGTGAAGAAATGTCACTTGGTGTAATTCGGTCGAGACAAACGTCCCAGCAGTCCTAACCTAACCCTGAAGGATTTCCGTGAGACAGCCAAGAGAAGACATTGAGGCTCAGATGAAATTAGGTTGTGTTAATATGGTATGTCGTAAAGATGTCAAACAAATGGAGCAGATAAACTGCGAGTCTGTCTTGTGGGCAGCAAGTTTAAGTGTCTGCAGATCCAAAACAGGGTGCACCGTGACAATTTAATAACCTGCAATGTCACCTGGGAGCAATCACGCTGCCATTGGGTACTGTTATTGTAATTATCTCTGGGCAAAACATCACCTCTACGCTGATAACTCGTTATAGATTGTGTAGTTCTTTACCAGGAACAGCCGGTTCGTTTTTGAATGTGATGTTATTTTATATTAAAGCATCTTTACTCCGAGCCGGTATCATCTTCTAGCTCTGATCACTGTCATAATAGCGTCGTCTCTCGTCTGCTCTCGGGGACTGACAGTTGCTTTACTCTTCTTTGTGAGCTCAGCTCTGACAAGTCTAAAGTCTGTCCACACTTTGGATTTTATTCTCTTTTTTTTTTTTTGCATTAATTTCTGTCTCTGACTTATTTGTTCCACCTCCACACACATTATGAAGCTGCCGTGACTGCAAACAACATCTTTTCACTGTACAAAATCTCAAATAATAGTCTGTCCACCCACTCACCACGGAACAAAGTAAACAAACACGACAGCAGACAATTTTCTCATTTTTGAATTTCCCTAAATTCAGGGATGTCACATGTAGGCGTATCAATAAAAGGGCAAAAGCTTGCAGTGAAATAGCAGAATATATTTTTCATTAATTGAAAGTTAATATGATGTTAATGGCCCTCTGCTGTGGCTAAAGCTGAATACTGGATAAAATGAGTTTTTAAATGTGTATAATGAACTGAACGTAGCAGATGGATCATCACCATTGATGAGAGAAGTGTCTGTTGACGATGCAAAATAAGCCCTGTGGTCAGTCTCATGCTTAGAAGCAACTCCCCCCCCCCAGAGAACATCTAAGCATAGGCTGCTTCTTTTTATTTTCATTTATAATAATTATAACAAATCTTAATTATATATGTCAGTCTAAATAATGTAGAATACAACTTGAATTTTGATCTTTATATGGTAAAATCAAACTGAGGAATATGATCCCTGGATTTTAAATAACTTAAGGTTGTTTGATACAGATGCCAAAGGAAGAGCAAGCACATACATGAGTGAAAATTCAAGAAATGCATTATAGACGTGTGACAAATGAAGGGAAATCCCAATGTGATGGTCCACCGTGTCTCTCCATTGATCCTACTGAGTCAGCCTATCACATTACTGCACATTACTACCCTAATGCAGGCACAGAGGCTACTTTCAAAAACACAAGGTCAGTTTTTATCAACCAAAGCTGAATAAAATAAATAACTCCATGAAAGTTCATGAAAACAAACAAGAACAGCAGCAGCAAAGGTGCAGAAAATAAAACTTTAGGAACACACAGATAGGAACACAAAAAAACACACACGCAAAACTAGGCACAGATCTGGGCCTCATGCCAAAATCCAGGTTTAGTAAAACTCACTAGAAATACATTTAACAAAACTCTGATTCAGATTAAGGATACACACATTTAAATCCACTCCATGATTCCTTCCCCGCTGCTACATTTGAACCAGGTAACTAACGCGCTTATATGGATGTCAACACACGTAGCGAAGCACCTTAATTTGGGTGTGCCTAATATCAAGTAAACAGTGTCTTATCTGTTTCTCCATATTTTTATCTTCAGTTCCTGCCACGTTTCGCCCCTATCACGTTACAACTGAGTAATTAGATTTAAAAATCCAATCTCTGGCCCTATGATAGATTGAGGGGCTGTCCAGGGTGTATCCCGTCTCTTGCCCTGTGACGGCCGCGGTAGTCTCCAGCCTCCCTGCCCATCCTGTTCTTTAAGATAAATTTCATGGCTCACTCATGTTCATAATTTTCAGTCCTCTGGATTAAAATGGAGGCTCTGCTCTTTATTTACTCATTGATATAGTGAATCCTGGTTTTGGAGCTCCGCTGATGATGGCTTTCTTTAATTACTGATACACTTTCTTGATCCAGAGTAAAATACTCTGATTTGATCAACTCAAAAACCCAGACTCGAAGGTTTTGGTTGGACTCACACTTTTTTCCTGGAACAGTGCAGAAGTGTGCATTAGAGACAAAGGTGTGGGAGCTGAGTTAGGGTTCATATCTCATTGTGTTGCCTCTCAAAACCAAACCAACCAAAATTGTTGTTATGTTCACAGCACATGTTATTTGCCACATATTGATTTCTGTAGCTGCAAAGACATTTAAGCTGTCAAACAACACTGCGGTGTCTGGATTTAATTTGTGAGACAGATATCATATGAACCAACCTGTTATTGAACTAACAAGTGAACACATATTTTATTTTACATTGTTAGCATTTTCACTATGTAGTAACTCCATACTGTATCAACAAGCGAAAGATCCCCAGTTCAATCCCCGGAGGAGACATAAATCCTTTGAGGTTGCGACCCGAAGGGCATCCGGCCTACAAGCTCTGCCAAATCAAACATGCTGTGCTGCGGTGACCCCTTGTGAATGAGCGAGCAGCCAAAAGCAGCTTTAGTAATTTCAGCATAAATTAAACTTTTTCATTTTTAAATTGTCAACAACAAAATATAATTTTTGTGTTTCACTGCATGCAAAACCGCTTCTGCTGACGCATATCTGCAGATGGTGGCTCCACGGCTCTTCCAAAGTGAGAAGAACACAGACAGATGGACTATTTAGCGTTTACATCTTGGCAAAGCACAATATTTCCAGCGTGGGCATTCTCTTTCTAGTTTTTCCTGAACATTAGTCGGCTTCTCACAATTTTCTATAAACATATAAATCTCTTAGAGGATTGCAGCCTTCTTTGGGGACTCCCCTCTCTGGAATCTATTCCACTGGATGTAATTAGACAGTCTAAACATACAATGCGAAGAACCAACTGTATATTTCTTTGCTTTTAATTAGGTTTGCAGGGATTTAGGCTTGGGTTGGCATTCTGTGTCCAGAAGTCGTTTAATGACTTTGCCAACAATGCATAGAAAGCCATTCATCACGCCATGTGCTCGGCTGTTTCTCTTGAAATTATAGCATTTGCGGAGTCTTAAGTGTTATTTAAAAATATCAGCCAAGGTGTATCATTTTTCAGGAGAAAAAGAAAAGAAGATTAGACTGGTCAATTTTGTTGTTTTTGTAAGAAATTGAGAAATGACAATTTAAACCTAACACTCGAAGTCACTGGTAAAGCAATAAAATGCTTCCTTGTGTCCCGGAAAACTACTTAGTGCCCATGGGGAGAAAAGAAGTAGATCTGAAATCAGAGTTGTCCTTGTTTGGAGATTTGATGTGCCGAGGCAATGGAAAATGACCGGGCTAACCTATCCCATATCAGCCTTTTTTTCCCCCTCAAGACAAGAAAATTGCTCTCCATTACATCCTTCTAAGCAGTTCAGACTGTGAATCCCAGTGGCAAATGAGCCTTTCCTTTAAGAAGGCCAAGCACATGTGGGACTGATTATTATGGGGCTGGCCCAAGATTATTTATCAATGACAGTAATTACCCACCTACCATAGCGGAAAGACTCCAACAAAAGAAAACTGTCTATTACATCAATCTGACAAGGAAATTGTCTGTTTGACCTCATGTTAGACAAGTTACTCATCCGTCCGCAGATTAATGATCAAACGAAAATACAATGTCAAGTGTAACCAGCTATGTCTCATATTTACGACTTTCCTACTGGAAGCTGAGTTTCAACACTGTGCAGTTATTCCATTAGTTAGCATTTACGTTAAAATGTGCACCATGCACCGCTTCAGTTGCTCTTCTCTGCCTGGTTAAAGTTGTACTCGACGTACCTATCTTAAGATTTTATAGCTTCGTTTGAAATATATCCATATGCAAAACATTTTTTAATGTCACTGTTACAAGTTTGTCTCATATCAAGATCAAC